GAGTGACAGCCTGAAATCCCCAATTCGGTCCTATTGTTTGGGTGCTGAAGTGTAGATGTTAACCCTCAGGCGAGGGGAACGTGGGAGCTCAGAAGTGAGAGCCGGTATCCTCTCAGCCTAGCCGCAGATTCAGTAAATAAGCGTAGGATTAGTCAATGTTCTTTATGCCTTGACCAAAGGGTAAAGAATATGTATGCTCCTATTTGGCAGAATATAATTTGAACTAATTTATTTTATCCATTCACTATAATTTCTTGACAAGGAGAAGGATGTTTTCTTATATATTGAATATCACATTTGAACCTTCATTAGTATAATTAGTTATTTAATAGCTATTAAAATTACATATTTATTTCAATTGCCTATTAGTGACAGATAAGCAAATTAAACTTCGTTGTTGTGATTAAAGTATTGCTTTTCTAAAATCTTAGTTCATAGTTCTAATCTTACTCCCTGTGGGATCGATATCTAGGACTCCATTAAGGCCCTGTATTACTTGAGCGATATGTATACTTGTGTTGATAAGTGTGACTTTACAATTATTGAATATTTATTATGTCCATATTTATCGAATCTATAAAAGTTATTAAGTTTTGGTACAGTTGCTGAGAAATCTTTTAGCAACAGTATTAAATACTTATATTTTTAAGCATATATAAAGTCACAGTCAAAAACCTAATAGAAAAACTTTCTTTGATCAAAACCCTACCTTTCTTATAGCCTCCAGTAGCCCATTATCCCTTAAGCTCAGCTTCATACATTAATTTATATGACAAGCTCGGCAAAGGCAAGACAATTCTTGGCAAAATTGGATCTGTAAATTTGCTTAAGTGTGTTGGAACTTGTGTGGGAGCGTCGCGATTACAAAACTAATGCTCCAAATTTTAACAAACGAGCATGCGCTGGTGTGCAGAATCAGGCATGGGTTCCTTAGACTAGGCGTGGGGGTGTTGAACACAGCATAGGTGCACCTGAGTTAATGCCGGTGCATCGACTTGCAGGTGCAATTGCTCTAGTCCAAAATTCTTGTATTGTGTTCACTTTTATTCTTTTTTGCTCCAAATTTTTCATTCACCCTGCCCCTAAATAATTAAGGCAAAAATACCTTTTCTCAAACATAATATTAGTTAAAAGATGAATATACATGTGGGAATAGGCTATCAAAATATCACATATTTTACTTTTATCAGCCATCCATAATGAAGACTAATGTTAAAGGTTGACACCTTTGAAAGTAGGTCATTTGAATAACACAAAATGTATATCATAGTAAGCATTTCCATGATAAAGAGAAATTTAGACATTCATTAAACCTGAATGAAGAATTAGTTAAAGTTAGAAAGTTGAACAAGTTCATAGCTCTAGAAAAAAACATAAGAATATAAGGGAGATCACCCATTAAAGAAGCTCATAGTGGATCTACACCAACATAAGCCATCCACATTGTACTAGTGTCAACGATCATTGGAGAGGACGAACGAGAAGCTTCTCATTAATCAAGACAAGTGAATTCAACCTGGCAAAATGATTTCAACTAACTCTTCTGACCATTGACAGTTAGCCAACCATCTATAACTTCATTGATGAATATCTCATTAGTAAAACCAAAATCTATTGAACGGAACTATGAAGGTAACAATGCTGATCACAAACTATAAACTATGTAATATTCTCATGGAAACTAGTAGTTCAAATATGACCTTTTTCAAAAACATAAATGAAAGGATGCGGCTTAGGGACTTTTTACAGTGTCCTCACTTCAAGTAACTATTCAATTTTGTATGAGAAAAAAATAAGTAATAAATACCATACATTACTCACCGACCAAGCTAATTTCAATCATTCATTCTTCAGTTACCACACCTACCACACACACGTGCATCACATATTTTGCCTAATATTTGGCTTTTCAACTTATGTTCTTTTCAACAAATATTTTTATTGAAAACAAGTTTTTTTTTAATGGATTTCTGATGTTATATATACTTACATCTCCCTTGATGCATCTTGAAAAACAAAAAAAAAATGTCTAGTGTTCACTTGGAAAACTTCGTGGGATTCTATATTGAAAAGTGCTTCAAAAGTAACTTATGTTAATTGATTATTTGGTTACACGGGGCTGAATCAACGAGAACTATTGAGCATTGTTAATTTTCCTGATGCATATAATTTGCTAATAATTTGAATTTTGCAATGATAGTACTAATCTTGTAGGTGAATATTAAAGGCCTCTTAAGAAAAAGAATAACATTTTGCTCAGTTATTATGTAATGTATTCAATACAATATCATTCCTAATTATTAATAGTATCATTTAAGGGAAAATTAAAGGATGTAAATTATAAAGTGAAATAGTTATTAAATTATAATATTTAATCTTGAAAGAAACCCAGGGCCTGTTTGGGGCAGCTTATATGTGCGGCAACATTTTTTAAAACGCCGCCTAACTGTTTGTTTTGCCCGTTTTTGAAAACATGTCTGCCACATTTGGGTTTTTTACACTAAACGCAGGTTGCGGGTCGACCCCTGCAGTCGACCTGCGGGCTGCGTTTCAGGATAAGATATTTATCATGAAACGCACAAGTTGTCCCAAACAGACCCTCAATCTTTGCTCCAAGCCTATTGCTTCTCCGTTGCTTCCCAAGGATAAGAAAATAATAGAGAAGTCCCTCAAAATGCTGATGTTACAAAAGGAGGTCATGTTAAGGCTTTCTTTTCAGTACAACTGTGAAGGTCCCAAAGTAATGTTGGAGGATTTTTGACACGAATAAATATCATAGTAAATGAATTAAATTAAGAAATTTTGATCAGTAGTTAATTGCTCTTCATTCAGCCTGAAAATTGAATACTACTAAAAGCATAATTAGTTTACAGGGCATGCATGCTAAATTTCCCAAAAAATAAAAAAATAAAAATTGAAATCCATTAATTATAACTATTAACTCAAATAAATAACCAAATCAAATAAAACTAAAACTAAATAATGAATCAAATACTTACAAACCATGCAAGCAAGCAACGACCTGAATAAAAATAGAACCTATACGTACGAATGAATCAAACTGATGCATAAAAAATGTTCTACAATTTTTAAAAAATAAAATAAATACAACAATAATATTGCAACTCGTTAGTGTACTAATGCTGATGATGCCTCTGAGCTTGCTTCTTTGCTTTCTTAATGTGGTGATGCTCATGGAGGGCAAAACCTGCACTAGCAACCGCTGCAGTCATGGCTATCTCTTCTTTGACCTTATTTTTGTGAGCACGCTCCGGATCTTTCTTTGACTTATGCTTCTCGTGCTTTATTGTTATCCAAAATATCACAGATAAATAAATGAATAAATAAATAAATAAATAGAGATCTGGAAATATGGAAAATAATTATATTAATCGCAACGACATTTAACTTAACCTAAAATATTTCATAAGAATATTAATTTCTGGCAAAATTTTTTTGTGTGCATATGCTATCAAAAAATAATACATTTTGCAGACGATCATAACCTTCGCTCCAGTACTAATCTATGTGCTCATACGAAGGTATCATGACCAAAAACTTTTTATCAACTACTTGTAACTTTTTTCATATTTTACAAAGTATACAGTAAAAAGAAAATATATTCAATCTTGAATATAATTATTAAAAATATGCTTAAAGCTAGATTAAATATTGGTAAAAGATATCCTTATTCCTATTATTTTTAAATGACTAATAAAAAGAAGATAATCCCGAGAATAAAGGTTTAATAATAACATAACATAAAATGGCAGCTTATCCAAATATTAGGTTAGAAAACTAAACGAAGAATAAGAAAATCATACAAGTGCATAGGCAGTGGCGATCATAGCCCCGAGCTTGCCGAGATGCTCCAAGCGTTTGTGATGCTTCTCATCCTTCTTGAAGTCATCTGTTGAAAACTTATCATTTTTCTCCTTATGCTGGTGGAAGGTGTTTTGATGAAGATTCGTGTGGTGGTGCTCCAGCGGCATCGTGGCAACTTAAATCTAAAAGGGCTTTCAAGTACTTAAAATCGGAAAGGGCGAAGCAAAGATATTAATAAATTAGCTTTATTAGGGACTAAATTAAATAGGGCTGGGATATTTATATAATATGAAGAGCTTCTGTCAAAGGGAGAACCGAAAATTGAACGCGTTTTAATTTACATGCTTCGATGCAACACATTGCAGTTGTTTGCAAACATGTAATAAATCTGTTTTGGATGCATTTTTCTTAATGTTAGTTTTTCTGATGAGCGAACCAGAATCTCTTTGCTTAGAGGCGGAGGCCCGCGTTGCCTTTGCTATTAAGAAAATTTGAATGGATTTGATGTTCCATTTATGCTGATGCCGACGCAATAAAATCTTAATTGGTCGGCTATGACGTGTCAAAGTGTTTCCTATAGATGGATTAGTTGATGGTGTGACCACTTGATGGAATAATGGAAATTTTGTTTTAGTTCAAGTTTCAAAGAAAATACATTAAAATAAAATAAATATAAATTCATTAATGTATTAACAAAAAATTTTCGTTCAAGTTTCAAAGAAAATACAATAAAATACAATAATTATAATTTCATTAATGTATTAACGAATGCAATACTTCAGTTAGCCCAACCCTGCTTCAAACAATAGTTACAGTCATCATTCATTCAAACCTCTTATGGGGGCTACTTTCTTTGAATAGAAATTGTAATACTCAAATTAGAAAATACTGAACTTTTTTTTTCAAACAAAATTAATCTATGTTTATTATTGCTGTTTGAATACCTTATAACTTTAAGCATTTGTACTATAACTTTGCAAATCTGCAAATTGCATTTGAATATTTTAATTAAATACTTTTTATATTATTCTAGTGATAGAATATATCGAACAAAAAAACTTCGAAATCATTTAAAATGAAAAAAAAAAGAGATCATTATTTAAAGTATTGGTAAAATTATAGTTGCTTGGTAGGAAGCTATTAAGGCATTGATAAAAGTGATTAGAAGAATGAAAAATAAACTGTTAGAATAAATTTTAAGTTATAACATTATGAATAATCTTGATTTATATACATTATTTAAATTAATAACTTTTAAAGGGGCAAACTAAATATCATGAAACTATATTTCAAGATGTCATCTATCCCACACTAACTTTTAGTCTCGTGAACTGACTAGTCAAAATCCAGTTTGATTCAACCAATTCACCCAATTTCTTCTCTTAGAGGCAGAACGGCCTTTCACCCTTGTTGCCTGGTTATTAAGAAATTCTGGAAGTTTTGGTTGATTCAAGTAAATAAGGACACGATAAAATCATTCTGGTGGGCAAAGTGGTGACAAGTTCTTGTTGTAGCCAGTTGATGGATTAGTTTTGTGAATGCTAAATGTTTGAATCTCTCATATTAATCTATTGTGTAGATAATTGTTTCATTCAAGACTCTAAATAAAATAAATTAAGATAAATATAATCTATGAATAATTAAAGTAAAAAATAAAAAATTCTTTTGGCCCAAACCTGCTTCAAACAATAGCTACAAGAATCAATACCTCTTGCGAGAGGTACTGCTTTCATCCTATGATTTCCGCTTTTTTCGTCACTTCAATGATGCCCCTAAAAATCGTAATACTCAAATTAGAAGATATTGCATAATGTTGCTTAAATAAATTTAACCTATGATCTTCATTATTATTGTCCGGTGAGGCGAGAGTAATCTTAAAGCCACCTTCGTGAGCTTCTAAGCCTTTCCCTCCCTCTCCATCCACAAAGAGCCTTTCAAGTTTAGGAGTAGAGATCAATGTTGGACAGATATTAGAGGAAACCTATAGGTTAAAGAACTTTTCTATACATTCTCGTCCCTTGAGGGAGTTCAAACCTTAGTTCTCTACTTACCCCTTTTGATTAGAGTTTAGCACTATGGTCTTGGAACTATAGTATAAATCCCATTGAGGTTTGCTTGTTTGCTTCACCACAGTAGCAGAATATATGGAGCTTACATATTTCTGATATGTAAAAATAGATTTTTGTGTTCTCGAATCATATTAAATTATTTTAGGGAATTTTTTGATGATCTCAATTTAATCAAATAAATGATTGTCAGCATGTCATCATTTTATAGGATGGCATAATTAGTGCTCCTTACTACCTAGACCTAAGCAATATAAGATTGTCCTGTCTCAGCTTGGAGAAAATCGAGAAGGAAATGTTGAGCTAGCTTGGGCAGTGAACATATATGAGCTTTGGTATAGATTTTGGGAGGTCTTCAAAGTGAATTGAGGTTGAAAAATTAGCCTTTTCTGAGCTTATAAATGTGGGATTTATAGGATTTGGTAAGGCATGGGTTTCAGTTTCATCCTGTGAAAGGACATGGGGACTTGGGCTGAGAACATTTGACATGTAGTGGGTTGTTGATTTGATTATAGAAGCGGCCAATGGGTGGAGAAGCACATGGGGTAGTCGATTGCAGGAATGGCCAAAGAGTGGGGGTACTTGGGTTGGGTGGCAAAGAAGCTTGGCTTTGTGGCATGGAAGGTTCAAGAGAAAGCTACAAATTGGATTCACTTGGCTTGAAAGGTTCAAGAACATCTTTTAGTGTCCTTGGATTTGGATTGAGCTTAGCTTTGCCTTTGAGTTGCATTTCTGTTTAGGTTTTAATTGCAATGAAGTTTGGTTTTGTGGATGGTTTGGATGTGAATATCATTAAATTTAAACTTTATTATTGGTGAATGTGGATGTTTTTGGTTGGGTGGATTTGAAATTGGTGGATTTGGGATTTGTGGATTTGGCTGTGTAGTGATGGAGAGTAAAGTGTTCATTTTATTTTTAGATTTTGAATTTATATTTTATTTTATTCAATTGGTTATTTAAAAGTTTTTTTTATGAGTTGCCTTTAATTTTTTAGTTTTTTCTTTTTACTTTATGAATTAATTTTGGATTTGTAACTTTGTAATTTAATAAAAATTTTGGAGATATTAGTTTCATTTGAATTTTTTTTTTGGTTTGTGATTTTATTGAATTTTTTTAGTTAATTTTAATTTTTGGTTGATATTTTGATTTTATGGCATTAGTGAATTTGATTTTAGGTTTTAGTTTTTGTGTTTTGCATTTTAACTTTAATTTTGATTTAATCTTAGACTTTTGATTTGTGATTTCATTTTATGATTTCATTGAATTTAATTTTGTTTGATTTCAATTTTACTTGTATTTCAAAAAGAGAAATTCAAGGATTTTGATAAGAGAAGTACAATGTGCCCATAGAGAGACCAAGTAGACGACCTAAGGCTCTAGGATTAAGGGGCAGCTTAAAACATTTTCAAACTTATAGGAGCTCAACTTAGTCAAAAAAGACTTCATTTTACTGATCGAAATAAAGAGTTAAGGATTTGAAGTCAAGTGAATGAAATTGAAAGGGGTGAAGATTTGGTTCAAATTGCTAGCTTGGAATTGGTTCAACCACTAGTTCTCTAAGAAAAGCTATTAAGGAAACCCTAAGGCTAGACCCAAAGATCTAGTGGCAGAAATGACTAATTTTATCTATGGATGGGGGTCATTTCGATTCAGTACCCAAAGATCTAGTGGCAGAAATGACTAATTTTATCTATGGATGATGTGGTATATTGTTTTGTCTACCTTTTATTGGCTTTTTAATGGTAGTCTTGGTTCATTATTTTGCATTTTGCTTAAGGGAAAATGTTGTACCATCAAATCTTTGGTCTTGTATTGTCTCTTCATTTACATACTTTGGTCTTTTAGTGTTGCCCTTTAGGTTGGTCTCTGGTTTGCTCTAGTTTTTTTGTTGGTTTGCCTCTTAACCTGTTTCTTGGAACTTCCTATTATTCTCTTTAAATTGTATTGATTTGCTTTATATCTTATCTTCATTAGTGGTTGTAGGATTTGGTTCTATGTTCACTTTATTCAAGCCTTGCCTAGCTTATTTATCCTTTGTTAAGTTGTTTTCAGGTCGCTTTTATAGATTGCCTCTGACGTGTTGTCCACCTTTTAATTGATCCTATTAGTCATTATTTTTCCTTTTTGATATTTTTTGTATTTACATTGGCATGTGTTGTATCCTTCAAAAGACACTTCCAAATAAATTTTTTTTACCTAATGTTTAATTTGTGTCTTAGATGGGATCTTCCTCCCTTTCTGTGTACTCCATATATTGAATAAATAAAATTCTCTATGGGGTTTTTTAAATAAGGAAAAAAAAAGGATAGACCTCATGCAAAAATGAGGTTAACAAATGAACTGCCAATAGGTGTAGTGTAACTGAAATACTATACCTCATGTATTGACATTGACTAAACCAACCAATAAGATTTAAGGGATGTCCAAGTTAGTTTACTCAAAATTTATTGAAGATTGACAATGAATTGGATTTTGGAGTTTGAGTTTTGAATCTCAATATGTTTATTTTGAATTTTAATTTTTTTCAGAAATTTGAAGACGAAATCTATCAGGTGTTCTTGTAGAGGTTATTAGTTGAAATGAAAGCTTAAGAAGATTTGATGGACCAACTAATGCAAGAAAGAAAGGAAGTCGACAAATGATTCTTCAAAGAGGAAAACATCTTAATTGCACAGGAAAAAAAAAAGAAAAAGGGAATATTAGTTTAAATTAGAAATCATGAAGACTCACATCTACTTTATGATTAACTGGGTGATCAAATATGTAGTAAGATGCATGGGGACTCATATTTATAGTTGAATCCGATTAAGAAGAGGATACCTTGCCTATTTTATGTTGTTCATTCTCCAATTCATAAGGATAAGGTGCTTAGTTTAAAAATTAGAAAGCATAGGGTTTTACTTGTACTTTGAAAACTAATTAAGGTGATCAAACTTGTGATAAAAAGTATAAAGACTCACATTTACTACCAATATTAATTGAGAAGAGGGTGATTTACACAATTTAAGGTTGTCTTATGCTTACACATCTCTAATTTCATAGAACTTGAATATATTAGGAAGGAATGTCGAGGGACTCACATACATCCTAAGTAGTGAGTAGGGTGACTAGATCAAAAAGGAATGCCAAGAGAGCTAATCGAGGAGAGAATGCCTTATTCCATCTGA